AGAACAAAATTGGTCAGTGTTCCTTCTTCAGAGAAGTTTTGGACAACACAGGAGATGCAGCTCCCACCTCCCACTGTAATAGCAAGGAAACCTTCTGCTATTGCAGAAAACCATCTCTGTTTGCCTTCCAAGATTGTCGTTTGCTTTCATCTACTTGCAGGTGTGCACAAAGGCTGTTTTGCTGAGGCTCTTTGAAGGAGACATGATTTAAGAGGAAAGCTCTTACCTGCATTTCAGCTTGTCTTCTTGACTAGGCTGAGAAAGCATAAAATCACAAAAAACTATGTATCTCCTACCTAGTGTCTCATCTCCTATCCTTCTTCACATCATCTGTAGCCTAATTTTGTGTGCAAACAGCTCCTGCTTCTAGTAAAATGTGAAATTTGTATTACTTGAATAAGATTTAGGTCATAATGAATATTTCAGTGCACTTTACGTCTGCATGCTAATTAAATTTCACAGGACTCATCTGAGGTAGGTAACCCTCAGTTTAATCTCTGGGAATGAGAAATATGAAGATGTGATAGGCAGCTCCCTCGGCTGGAGCCATGTATTTACAGGTGTTTCATTTGAGCTAGTACAGTGAAATGCCAGGCTTTAAGGAGCTCAGCAGTTGTGTGGTGGAACACCTGTACAGTCCTGGCAGCTGGCAGCAAATGCCATGGAGGTGGGTGGAACAACAGGAGCAGATCTGCTTTTGAATGTCAGTGGCTGTTGCCATTTGGTTTTGACCAAATCCTACCGTGAAATTTAGAAAGAAAATATCAAATTAACAGTGGTCAAAGTCCAGAAGAATGAATATTTCATGCTTCAAGTTTTGTCATCAGGCTAACCAAGCCCAACTCCCTCAGCCCTTCGTCACGTGATGTGTGTTCTAGACCTCTGTAGTGATGTCAGATCTCACACTGGGGTAAGATACCACACTGAACCAGAAGAGGACAACTGAAGGATCTCAAAGTCTCTGAACCTGGCTGTGCTCCTCACAGCAGCAGCAGCGCCTGAAATCCAGGAGAGATGCTCCCTGCTGACAGCTCTCCCCTGGCAGCAGCCAGACCTTGGCAGCTCCTTGCTCTTGCAAAATTCCTGTGGTAATGTGCACTGTAACTCATCTGTGGATAGAAAGTACACATACAAGGACTCCTGGTAACATCCAGAACAGAAGGAAGGCCTTTCAGGCATTATAATTACCAGCACTCATCACTAAATGCACGTAGGTAGTTAGGGTAATTATTCCAAATTAGCAGCTGCAAGGCCTGCAGATGGGAATTTCAGGGGCTGGTAGCTATTGGGAGGAAGCATTTCTGCAGGCTGCAAAGCCCTTTCCATGTTTTGTATGGAAAATATCTATGTAATGACCCTCATGCATGATGTTAAATATTTGTGTCAACATTTCCTGCACGGATGTAATGCTTTGCTCTCCTTTCGAGCTGTGTTGGGCTCTGACATGGCATGGGTTTGGAAAGATTTTCCCAAGATCTAACCTATCAGCTCAAGTTGAAGAGCCAGGGTGAACTGGGACTCAAAGTTTGCTTCTTGTTCTCAGCTCACATGGAAAAACAATGCCAAAGGCCCTTTTGCTGGCTTTTGAAGAGAGCAAAAAGGCTCCAGCTGTTCTCCCAAGGTCTGCAGCAAACCTGAGGGAACACACTGTCAGACTTTCTTGCCAGGTTCCAGGAGTGTTTTCCCTGTGTTCATTGTGTTGTGCTCCTTTGAGTGGCTCAAGGGTAAAATAACAACCAAACAAAGCTCCTGTTTGAATCATGAGGAATGTTCTTCCAGCCATAAATGCTGTGATAGCCAACGAGTTGCTCTGGTAAGGAAGGGATTCTTGGTGCCTTTATGCACACCGTGAGCACACCACAAGCACAAATGGAGCTTCAGTCTTTAGCTTTCATGTGACTTCATTTCACTTACATAGAAAGCAAAAGGAATTTAATCAACAGAAACACAGAACTGTGAGATTTGTCCTTATCACAGTGAAGAAATTTAATTTTTAGATACTTTAATGTAAAAGGAAATCAGTCTTTCCTATCTCTTACAGTAAGATTGCAACTTCAGTCAACAAGTAAGTCTGTGTTCAGTCATTTCAACCCAGCCCTTGTCTAGCTATTTGAACATGGAATGTCAGACAAGAGAAACTTGAGAAAGTAATAATTTTCTGCATTGGGGTGCGGAAAAGGTTATTGATCAATATCTCTTTAAATTTTCCATTTCATTATCTTCGACTAAAATGAAGATGTTTCGAGCGAGAATAATTATTCTGTGAAAAATGTAGGAGTTGTTTGACAAATAATGATGTTAAGACTGAAGATGACAATTCAGCTTTGGTCTTGACAGTTGAACGGCACATTTTGCAGTGGCCTGGGCAGGGGCCACTTTCTCAGCATCGGGGCTTGTTTCAGCCGTGCTGATGTGCAGTTTAAAGCACATTTAGAAGTGAGAGTGTGTTTGTGTGTATCAGCTAACAGACAGCTCTCCAAGTCAGGTTTTTGCAGTCAGTAGTACTATCAGCTGTCAGTTAAAGAAAATCTGTTTTTTCTTAGACACTGGCTGTGTCTGCATGTGAACACCTCTCAGGTCTCCTGGCGTCTCTAAAGACCTTCCTGCTACATTAATCTCGTGTATGCTTAAGTCTTAGAGGAGAAATTAGGATGATGTATCACATTTACAGGCTTCAAGTTTGGGAGCATTTGTCACACTCCCCTTCCTGTCACCAGCCAAAGCTGAATAATGTGAAAAGTTTGTTTCTCTCCATGATCTAACCCATATTTCACTTCGATTCATGCTCTGTGCTATTACTTTGTGTAAGAATGTGACTCATAATTTTTTCTCTTACATTTATCTCTAATATTTTTATGTTCTGTGCAATCCATTTCATCTCTTCTTATCTGACTTCATCTTCCATCTCTTTTTCCTTCTGTCCTGATCTTGTTTCTTTGATTTAATATCTCTATCTTTACTTGTTCACCCTCTTTAAAAACTTCGTTTCCCGTTTAAGCCCTTTTTGGGACTCGGAGCACCAGGTCTGCTCACCTGGGGTGTGTGGCTAGTTCATCTGTCTCGCAAGGGCAGTGAAGATGACAGGGATGTCGTGTTAGTGATTTCAATCCAGTTGACAGACAGATCATGTTAGTGATTTCAATCCAAGCCCCAAGACAGCTGAAACCAATGGGAGCATTTACTTCAGCTCCTCAATGAGCTCTGTAGAAGATCTCAAACATGTTAAACTTGAAAACCTTTGTTAGCTATCCTGCTCTGCAGCAGCTCCTAAGCATGCATTTAACTGGAGTTCCAGGTTTATAGTCCATCAGTAAATAACGCCATTATGCTGTTTAATATGCATGGAGTCATTATGCTGATAAAGGATGTGATGCTGCCAAGTACCTCAGCCGTGATCCACTGCTGAACTCTGTCACATCCTTCTCTTTGACCATGAGTCCTTATGATGCATTTCAGGGATCATAGCCTTTAAGTAAAGTAGATGCTTAAGTGTGTTTCTGGGTTAGGACCAGAGCTCTCAGCACCTTGGAAGATTGAACAAAGCAGAAGGAATCAGTGATCCTGGCAGAGAGAGGTTTTCTGGGTCTTAAAACAAGGCTGTGGGTTGGGAAATCTCCTCCTGCTCAGCTTTCTGACAGCTTGGGGTGCACAGATATCCATCCACCAGCTGTGGATTATAGCAATCTCACCACTTGGACAACCACCTCAGCTGCACAAAGGCAGCCAAAGCACAGTGTTAATCCACTGGTTACATTCCTGAGACATTGCAGTCTCTATGAGCTATTTTGCAGCCTCTAAATAAGAAAAAAACCCAACAAATTACCATTTTTACTTTCTTCCCCACAGAAGTTTGCCCCAAAATCAGAATCTAAGCCATTTATGCCAAGGTCACATCTTAGTTGAGCTTAAATACAGCATTCACCTTCTTGAAAAGTCTCCAAGGGTCATATAGGGAGAGTTGGTAATACACTTTGAAGTGCTCAGGTTTCAATGAGTTTTAAGGGTGAGACTTCCAATCAACTTACAGTTACCAGCTGAAAATCTGTGCAAACTTTTAAGAGGTTAGGCTAAGCTCCTTCCTGTGATTTAGAGCATGTCTACAAGCTGATATTGCAGTTGAGCTCACAAACCATGACTTGATTGTTCCTTGGGTTCCAACACTGATAAACTCAACATTTTCAGCTTTGAAGTTGAAATTGAAATGGCCAAATCATTTAGGGACCTCAGAAATGGCTTTATAAGCTCTGTTTCTGGAGAATAAAAAACTTATGGCTTGTGAAATGAAAAATTGAAGGAAAAAAAGTGAAGAGAATAAAGCACATTCCGTGTGTGTGTTCTGTGGTCTCCATTAGGTTCCTCAGGATGAATGGGGAGGATACCCAGCCGGGGGGAAAGATGAAGAGATCCCCTGCAGAAGAATGAGGAGTGGGAGCTACATTAAGGCTATGGGAGATGAGGAAAGTGGAGACTCTGACACCAGCCCCAAGACATCGCCAAAACTAACGGTTCGGCCAGAGTCGCTGTTAAAATCCATTGGACAGAGACCACTGGGAGACCATCCAAAGTAAGTGTTGTCTCACCATGTGGGGCACCTTTCTGAGAGCTGCTATGGCTTGGGTAATCTTCCTTTGTGCCTTACTGGTTGTGGTCAGCAGCGGTAGGGAAAAATGTAGCTACAGAGCTTAACTTCTGTGGCTTCGTTTGAGATTAGCTAGTTCCTTGTGATTTCTGGATATAAAACTGGTATCCTCCAGCCAGGAAATCAACCTGCTGCTTCAGGATCGGTTTGTGTTTGCTGAAGGAAATACAAACCTGTTTTATCAAAAGTGTAAAATGCTGGATTTTTCTTCTCTAGAAGGACTGTTTGGTAATATAAGTCTTTGTTTTTTCCTTGCTTGCTTTGAAATAGAACATACACTGTATTCTATACTAGATGAAATAGAAAATACGCTCTCTTCTATGCTAGATATAATAGCAAATATATAATTGGCATCTTGCACCTTTTTATCGGTGTCAGCCGTACTGTAACATACTCCTTGAAACACAACGTGAGGATTTGGTGTGAGTTATTTCTCATACTGTCTGCAGTATTGCCTATTAAATAGCTAAAGCAGATCTTAAACCTAGAGGGAGATAAGTAGCTATATATGTTTTCTGTTATATCTTTATTTTTCTCTCCTTTTTATCCTTTCAATGTATCATTTTGTAGCTGAACTGTAAGTATAGCTGTGAGGAAAGTGTCAGAGTGGTGTAAAACCTGCAGCTTCTACTAATCTGGGTGTTTCTCGTGGCTTAGAAGGTTGATCTTTTTACCTGGGACACAAACTGAAGGAATCAAGAGTGAAACCTTTGATCAAAGGTTGTTCACAGTTCTGTAGGTAATGCCACGTGTAGTGTGTCAGAGTGACTCACCTTTTCATGAAACAAGACAAGAACTTCAGGCAAAAATCCTTATGGCTTAATTCAGTTGAAGCATTTAGTTTGCAGTCTGCAGGAAAACCAGCCACTTTCACTGTTGCTGAAGTGCTCACCACTTCAGAGTGTCATGTAGCTTGGTCATGCCTGTGTAGGGTCAGTTCAGGTGCACAGCCAAAGGTAGCTGAACTGTGAGCTGCTGGAAGATATCTGAGGTACCATGAAACTGCATGTGCAAGTCTCTGCTCTGGATTGGCAAAAAAATCCAGGCAGGATAGTTTACAGCCTCTCAAAGGTGCCAGAGACCCTTGTTTAGGTCACTGGGGAAAATGCTGAATGTGAATCTGAAGGGTTCTCTAGCACATTAGTTCTGATGAGGAAACCTGACCTATAACAAAAGTATTGCTGGCCTGAGTGCAGAAACCTGATCACGTGCTCTGAGAAGGTTTTGGAGTGGTCCCTGGCTAACATGTTGCCTGAGCCTGTGTCCCACCACTGCCTGGCTGTGTTCTGGGCACTGGTGCACCCCAGGGATCATTTGATTGCAGTTTTGGAGGGTATGTCTTTTCTCTTCTAGTGGCACAAACTCAAATCTCTTCTCAGAGACCATTGCAACCTTCCAAGTGCTTAGACCAGATAGAATATACTCTATGCCATTCCTTGTTTCAGCTATGGTTGGGCCTCCCACAGCACCAATTTTCAAAGTCTCAGGGCATGTGCTCGACCACTGCAGCTCCCAACCAGCTCGAGGCAGCCGCTAAACACACATATTGAAGCAAGGAATAGATTTGAAGGGAAAAAAGTATGTCTGATCTGTTAAATCCTGAAGGCAGGTGGTTATTAGGAGGTTACTACCAAATGTTGTCTTTTCTGTCAGTTTTCCATGTGTGGCAAATGCACCTCTCGAGCTGTAATGGATTAAAGCCTGGGTGCATGTGCTGGGGTTGTCAGCTGGCTTGTTCAGAGCCCCAGGGGGTTTCCTGGCAGGGTTAGCACTACCCACAGTCAGAAAAGGAGGAAGATTTCTGTAATACTGTGAGATGTTGTTCGGGGCTGTGTTGGGAATTTGTCAGGAGTGCTGCAGCAGGGGTAACTGAGCAGTTTTAAATCCCCAGCTTTCCCTTGCAATGAAAGGCAGCACCTTAGATCTGCCAGCCTAACAGGCAGGGCTTTTCCAGTGAGCTACAAGCAGAAATGTGGCAACTGGTCTGGTTCCTTTCTCACAAAAATATGCAAATTTCAGCAATCCTTAAGCAGACAGAAAATTTTCTGTCACGCAGAAAGTGCTGACCCTGACCCTCAGGTTTCCCCACGAGCCATCTCCTGCCTGTGTGCCCTGTCACTGTGCTTAGCTCTTCTGTCTGGCAGGTTTCTGTGAAGGATGGGGCGATGGGGTTGGGGTTGCCCTCCTCCCCAGCTTGGTGCAGTGCTCCCCACTGCAGGCCCAGTGCAGAGCTGGTGCTGTGGGCACCATTCCTGCATGGGCAGCAGGGCTGGGCAGCCTTTCTGGCTCCTGTTTGAGGAACTGCACCATTCAGGATGTCAGCAGTGTTAGCTGCTTTGCCTGGCTGGAGGGGCCCAGAGAAATCACATGGGGCTGTAATTCCCTGGTCCTTGCTGGGGTGACACAGTGGCTCAGAGATGGGATCTGCCAGGGCACCAGTAAACCTGTCATAAAAGCTGAGTATCAACAGCTTTGGCAGTATAAAACATGCACTGGCTACAGAACAAATGTAGTGGGATTTCATAGGAGTAAGCCTAGTTTTCCATCACTATCCTGAGCAGGATAAAACAAAAATTAGAACAACTTTCACTTTACCTTCAACACACATTTGGCATGTGTTCGTGCTTCTTCCCTAAGTTTTTTCAGGCAAGGTTTTTTTGTTCCCATTTAAATTCTGTTCCCTCTTTGACAAAAGTAAGTCTATTTCTTGGTTTGTGCTGCTCAAAGATTCAGCAGATTGGACATTAAATATGTATGAACAATAAAAATGCATATTTGTCTCTAAATAAATAACATACAAGTAGGTAAATGTAACTCATATATAACAGAAGCATTAAAATTCTACAATAATTTCATTGAAGTTGCTTTTGGAAAGGAGTGTATTTTGCTTCAGGTAGGGATAAAAGAGAAGTGCAGAATCTGCCCCTGCTGGGCTACACAGTTGGCAGAAGCAGGTCATGGACACAGTCACCTCTGTCTGCTAGCGCAGCATGGTCCCAGCTGCTTCCAGCCTGCCCCACCTGGCTCAGCTCTGCATGGTGTCCAGGTGTGTGTCAGGGACTAACTCAGAACCCCAGAACACTCAGAGATGGAAGGGACCCTTGGGGCTCACCCAGCCCAACCCCTGCCCTGCACAGACATCCCTGACACTCACACCCTGTGCTGAGAGCATTGGCCAAACACCTCTGGAGCTCTGTCAGCCTTGGGGCTGTGACACTGCCCTGGGAGCTGTTCAGGGCCCAAACACCTCTGGGGAAAGAAGAACCAGTTGCTAATCTCCAGCC